ATTTTATTGAGTTTATTGGTACATTTTAGGGATACAGTACAGTTACATTCATTGTTGGGATCATGTACCTCTACATGGCAAGTCTTGATTCTATTTTTTTCCCCTTACCTCTGCCCTCCCTTCACCCCCTCCTCCCCTCCCCATCTACAAACACTTTATTTTCATCTTTTCATTCTCTCACATTTTTTTCTTTTCCCTTTTTGTTCTTCCCCTACGTATCACACCTTCCTTACACCTTTAGCTCCTTTCTTCAAATTTCTAAATGTCAGTAATCTTATTAGAATCTTATGCATTGTTGCAGAATATTCACACCAGGGAAACTATTTGGTATTTACACATGTGTGACTTATTTGTTTCACTTAGGAGTATATCTTCAATATGTATCCATTTTCCTATGAATGAATCTATTCTCTCACTCTTTATGGCTGAGTAATATTCCATTTTATAGAAAAACCACAACTTCTTTATCCAGTTTCCAACGGATGGGCAAATAGGTTGTTTCCAAGATTTAGCTATTACAAGCTGTGCCACTATACATTCTTTTTGGCTGCACATGGGTCATTCTCTAAAGTAGACCACATACTTCCTCATAGAACATCTTTAAGCAAAGGAATTGAATTTACCCCATGTATATTGTCAGAGCATAGTGCAATTAAACTGGAAATCAATATCATAAGAAAATGCAAGAACTTCACAAACTCGTGGAAATTCAATAAGACTCTCCCAAACAATTGATGGGTCACAGAGGAAATTAAAGAAGAAATTAAACAGCTTCTACAATTAAATGATAATGAAGTACAACATGCAGGAATCTATGGGACACAGTGAAAGCAGTTCTACAAGGGAAATTCATAGCAGTCAATGTCCATAGTAGGACAACAGAGTGAGCTCAAATAAACAACCTAATGCAGAACTTTAAACTCCTAACAAAAGAAGAGCAAAACAAACCCAAACACACCAGGGAGGAAATTATAAAGTTCAGAGCAGAAATCAATGCAATGGGGACTGAGAAAATGATACAAAAATATCCGTGAAACAAAGAATTGGTTTTTCAAAAGAATAAATACAATTGATAACCCTTAGCCAACATTAACAAAAAAAGGAAAAAAAAAGGCTCAAATTCATGCAATTAGGAATGAAAAATATGAAGTCACAACACATCCAGCAGAAATCCAGAGGATTGTTGATACCTACTTTGAAAACCTGTACTTTGATAAAGTGGAAAAAAAAAACCAGGAAATGGTCAGATACATATGAATTACTGAAGTTAAATGAAGAAGATATAAAAAAATCTACACACCCCAATTAAATTCAATGAAATTGAAAATGTAATTAAAAGTTTACCAATGAAGAAAAGCCCAGGTCCTCATGGCTTCAGTGCTGGATTCTAAAAGACATTGAGAGAAGAAATATTGCCACTACCCTTTAAACTCTTCAATGAAATTGAAAGGGAAGCAATACTTCCAAATTTATTCCTGGAAGAAAGTGTTACCTTGATTCCAAAATGAGGGAAAGACTCAACTAAAACAGAGAACTACAGGCCAATCACCCTAATGAACATAGATGCAAACATTTTCAATAAGATACTGGCAAATACAGAGTGTCCTCAAGAAGATCATATACCCTGACCACGTTGGATTTATCCCAGGGATGCAAGGATAGTTCAACATATGTAAATTGACAAATGTAATACATTTTATCAACAGAATCAAGGAGGAAAACCATATAATCATCTCTATAGATTCAGCAAAAGCATTTGATAAAATTCAACACCGATTCATGATAAAAACCCCACAGAAAATTGGAACAGATGGACTTTATTTCAATTTGATAAAGACGATCTATGAAAAACCAACAGCCAATATCATACTAAATAGTCAAAAACTGAAAAACCTTTACATAAAATCAGCAACAAGACAAGGATGACCACTATCACTACTCCTTTTCAATATAGTTTTGGAAACATTAGCCACAGTAATTAGACAAGAGAAAGAAATGAAAAGAATAAAGATAGGAAAGGAAGAAGTTAAACTGTCATCATTTGCTGATGATATGACACTCTACAGAGAAGACACACAAAACTCAGCCAAAAGACTTCTAGGCTTAATTGATAAATTCAGTAGAGTAAATGGATAAAAGGTCAACACTGAAAAATAACTAGCCTTATTATAACAAATAACAGACTCACTGAGAGAGAAATTAGGGAAACATTTCCTTTAACAATAGCATCCAAAAATGAAATACCTAGAAATTGATCGAATGATGGTGACAAAATTCCTCTACATTGAAAACTACAGCACTCTGAAAAAAAGTTCAAAGTGGATATAAGAAAATGGAAAGACATCCCTCGATCCTGGTTAGGAAGAACAAACATAGTGAAAATGGCCATAATAGCATACTGCTATACAGATTAAATGCAATCCCAATAGATATACCAACAGTATATTTCACAGAAATAGAGAAAATAATCCAAAAATTCATTTTGATTCAGAAGAGATCTAGAATAGTAAATGTCATTCATGGCAACAGAGACATGCAAGGGGTAACATAATTCCAAACTTTAAACTATGCTACAAAGTCACTATGATAAAAACAGCATAGTACTGGCAAATAAACAAACCTGGGGATGAGTGGAATAGATTAGAAGATGCAGAAAGAACTCCAGGCATACTGTTACCTCATCTTTGACAAACCATCTTCAGTGGAGGAAAGATAGCCTCTTTAATAAGTGGCATTAGAAAAACTGGATTTCAACTTGTCAAAGATTCAACCTAGACCCCTTTCTTTCATCATGACTAAACTAAAATCCAAGTGGATTAAAGATCTAAATACCAAAACAGAAACTCTAAACTTGCTGGGAGATAAGTGAGGTAGAATTCTCAGAGATATTGGCATAGGAAAAAGACATTACAAACAAAACCTCAGTAGCTTGGGAATTAGCACAAAGAATCCATAACTGGGATCTCATCATTTGGCTAAGAGACAACCTACAATATGGGAAAAAGCTGTTACTCAAAGGACTACTGTCTAGAATATATAAAGAACTAAATTAAATAAACAAACAAACAAAAAAATAAATAAATAAACCTACCAAATTTAAAGATCCAATTAAAAAATGGTCATATGAAATGAATAGGCACTTCTCAGACAAACAAGTAAAAGCAGCAAATAAATATATTAAAAATATTTAACATCACTGGCCATAAGAGAGATGCAGATGAAAACAACACTAAGCCTCCATCTCATCCCAGAAAGAATGGCTGCTACCAAGAAATCAACCAATAACAAATATTTGTGAGGCTGTGGGAGAAAGGAACATTTCTCCATTGTTGGTAGGAGTGCATAGTGATGAAACTACTGTAGAAATCAATATCCCAAAAAACTGGGATTAAAGGTCCTAATTTACCCATTACCCCTCTTCTGGGTATCTTTCCATAAGAATTAAAAGAGTCACATCACAGTAATATATAAGCACCCATGTTTACAGAGGCACAGTTTGCATTACTTAAAACTTGTACACATTTTCCACATTAATATTTATTTCTCTTAACTAAGTACATATTTTTGCATTTTAAATCAATGTACACTGAAACCATACTCTTAAGTGAAATGAATAGGACACATAAGTAAATACTGAATAGTTTCTCTGGTGTGAAAAACTAATAGTGAAAATTAGATTCATATGGTATAAGTGATAATGTGAAATAGGAAGTAAAGTTCTAAAGGAGAAAGAGATGTTGAAAGGATAGGGAAATGGAAATAAGGGGAAAGAAAAAATGTGAAAAAAGGAAAAAATGCAAACAAACTCTTTGTAAGCAGGGAAGGGTGGAGGACACGAAGGGAGGGCAGAGGAACGGGGAAAAAATAAGAACCAAGATACATTATGTAAAGGCGCAAGAACCCAATGATGAATGCAATTGTATTGTTTACTTTAAATAAACCAACAAACTTAAAGGAAAAAACCACCACATTTTCTTTATCCAGTCTTTTATTTGATGGGCAATTGGGCTGTTTCCATATTTTGTCTATTACAAACTATGAGGCTATACAGATGGGTGCACATATATCACTGTGGTATGATTCTTTTAAATCTTTTGGAAGATACCCAGCATGGGAAAAACTGGATGAAATGAGACCTTTAATCCTAGCTTTTGAGGTATCTCCACATTGATTTCCACATTGGTTGCAGCAGTCTGCACTCCCACCAACAATGGAGAAGGGTTCATCTTTCTCCCCAACATTTGTTATTGGTTGATTTCTTGATAGCAGTCATTCTTTTTGGGGTGAGATGGAATCTCAGCGTTGTTTTCATTTGTATCTCTTGGATGACCAGTGATGTTGAACATTATTCCATATGTTTATCTGCTATTTCCACTCCTTGGTCTGAGAGATGACTGTTTATTTCACATGCCCATTTTGCCTTATGTCTCACTTGTTGTTGGTCTGATGCATTGTTTTTTTGCAGATATGAGAAAATCTATGCAGAAGATAAAACAGAGCAACTCTAAAGTTTGCCTCCCTGGAAGATGTGCAGACCCAGATCTTGGAAATTTCTTAGAAAGACAAAGCTCTGAGCATGGTTGTGCTGCTGCTAAATGAAATAGGCAGCCTGTATCTAAAGGTAAAACCTGTATCTATGTTCCTTTCTTTGCCTGATATTTTCCTAAGTCACCATTTCTAAAGACATTAAGTAAATATGCCTCAAATAATGAAAAACTCAACAAAAAGAACAATGCTTTATCTTTTTATTACAAAAATGTGACAACAGTCTGACATGTATCGATGGTTTAGTGAATACATAATTGATTATAGTTATGCACATGAAAGTTCAATTTGATGATAGTAAAATTAAAAAATATATACTTAGGTGAGAGAAATAAATATTAATGAGGGAATGTATACAAATATATCAAGCAAAAAAACTAAAGTGCATTATACCTACAGTGTGTCATAAATAATAACTGTAAGAAAATAAAAGTCTTAAACATGACATGTAAAATAGTCTGGAATCTCAAGGAACAGTGATACATATTTAGATCATTTGCACAGAATAAGGTGATATAGTAATTTAGTTTTGAATATACATATATGTACATATCATACATATGCAATCATATATGTGATATATATATATATTACATATACACTTAACTATATCCAGGACTATTAGTTCTGCATACCAGAATAATTTATAATAAACTGTTTTATTAATTCACAGGTAAAGGATGATGGCATCCAGTTAATTATGTCATTTTCCTTTTTTCATTTTTATAGCTTGAAGATAGATTCACTGCTAGGAAATTACTGCAATTGACAAACCTACAAACTATGAAGATGAGAGAGGTGAATTTACACCTACCTCTGTTCATAATAGAAGAGAGCTACAACCTCAAGGCCACATCAGAAGACATGGGAAATGTGGAACACCTTCTCCACACATGATTCTGAACTCCTGGGCATGACCTGGTGTCTGAGGTCAAGCACAAACCCTGTGGGGATGAATACGGAAAGAGAAAAGGCTACAGCTGCCACAGGCACAGAAATTATACCAATACGATCACCAACACATTGAAAATTTTATTGTGATTATCCTTTCCTATTGTTCAACAGGCAAAATTGTACACACTTCTTTGCCAGAGTGCCTTCCTCTTGAATGTTGTTACTTTGTCACTATTTGGGGAAAATGTTTACTAGTTTTTCCAGTAAATTGATGGCTGGAAAGAAGATTCGATTGGTTCCCTGTCCTTTTCAGTTTCATACACAACATTAAACACTCAGTGTTTGCTGGAAACAAATTCTTTGTAAATAGGAAGGAGTAGATTGGTTGAAAGGAGGGCAGGGAAATGGGGAAAAACCAAGAACCAAGAGGGCTGGGGATTTAGCTCAGTGGTGCTGCCACATTCCTTGAAAGCACAAGGTCCCAAAGTTTCATTCCCCAGTACAAAAAACAAAAGAAAACAAAATAAGATATATCATGTAAAGGGTACAGATTCCCAATGATGAAAGTCCTCATATTGTACTACAAAATATACAAAAAGAAAAATTCAATATATGAGATAGCAGTCCTCTCTCTTACCACACACACATTTAAACCTATTTACTTTTCTATAGAAATCCCCTTTGGGGCTAAGTATACATGTTAAAATAAAAAGGATATCTCAATACTAGACTAGTAAGTTTGAGATATGAAATTCTTAAATGATTTGAACCAAATGATATTTGTTTTCAAACTAGTTAAACTTGACTCCCTAGTTTCCTTGGATTACCTTGATATCTGGGATCTTTTTATCTTTCTAATTCTTTTGATTCTGTAAAATACATTATCAGTAAAACAATGACCTGCTCAAATTATATATTGTTTTATCTCTTTATTAGAATAAATGCCAGTAGCCAATTAAAGATATGCAAGAAAAACAGAAATATTTTAGCCAAAGAGGAGAAAGGTTATGGATTGGAGGCACTCAGCACCCACCTGCTGCTCCAGGAGACTGAGCCAAAACAACACATGTGCAGACCAATGTTAAAGCCAAGGATTCATAGGACAGGTCTAGAGTCCAGATCTGGAGAGCCAATGACCAGGTGAAACCCAGAAATGAAGGATTTTAGAATAAGATAAACACAGCAGCCAAACTCATATAGTCCTTGAGATGTTAACAGGAGCAGAGTCCAACACTGAACTTACAATCAGTGTGAAGAAACATTAGATATGGGATGTGCACTGAGAAGCACTGCTGGTAAAGGCAATCGGGGCATTCTAAACTTGTGCCTATGAGGCTCTAAACATCAGCAATTTGAAGATTTTTGTTGCCTGAACTTACTTCTTGCAGATCGGATCTCTGCCTTTTTAAACTCTTAAAGTCTCAACCATCTTTTATCTTCTCTGGCACAGTGAATACTCACCTGAGAAACTATAAATAGTCATCCAAGGCATACAAACTATATCAATACCCCTTATTTTCTCAAAATGCTCTATCAAGGGGGTGCTGAAGAGAAATAAGAAACTTCAAGGGGGAAAGGGATGGGTTAAAAAATAGTGTTTTCCTTGGTACACTCTGTACCCTGAGAATGTCTATGGGAAAGAGATGAGCATATAACTCAAGATGTCCCTGACATTCAGATATGGGGGCTGCTTATTCTCCGGATTATTTCCACATTCTATACCTATCCATCTTTCTGAAAGTGATATGATTTCATTCTTTCTCATGGATGAATAATATTCCATTACATGTATATGTGCCTAATTTCTACATCAATTCTTCTATTGAAGAGAATCTAGGCTGTTTGTGCAGGTGGGCTTTCATGAATTGTGCTACTATATACACAGGTATGCAGGTATAACTGGATATTATTCGTATATGTGAATGTACATTACATTTTATTGATTTACATCTATAGAGGCAGATCTAGGCTATTTGAACTGCTTGAGTTTTGTGAATTGTGGTAACTTCAGTGTTTTCTATTACATAATCAGAAGTGCCATAGAAAGTTCAAGTAGTTGTATTTTTGGCTTTTGGAGGATTCTCTATTCTGGTTTGCATAGTGATTCAGTACCTTAGTTTACTACCAAATGTGCAGTAGGGTGTAGGAAAGGTTCAATTTGCCTCACAGTTTTAAAGATCTGGTTCCATTATTTAATGTCCCTGTTTGTTTGGGCCAGTGGAAAGGCAGCACATTTTGGCAGGGAGCACCATCTTGGGAACCTGAAATGATACTGGAACCATTGCATTAGGCTATTGTCTCCTGTTCAGTGTACAGTACAAGCCTGAGAAAAAATCTAATAGAACTAAGAGAGACAGAAAGCAAGGAGCCAAGACAATAAATACTGGTACAACTGACAAAGGTGCTGACCAGTCCAAACCACTGATTTTTTTTTATTAGTAATTAGTTGGTGTAAAGGTGAGCTACAAGTGAGGGTGGGATTACACATGAGGATGCACAATCAAGCAGTTTCTAGGCAAAGTAATGGAAACAAGGCTAGCAAAAGAAAAGGCAAAGCATTGTCAAATATGAGCAGAATAGACAAAATATATGATTGTAATTACAACATTGTTCTTCTACTTTAAAAAAATTTTAATTATAGGAATGGAATTTCAGTGCAAGTTACCCTGACCTCAGCACTTAGGCTTTGGCCAGAATCACTTCTGTGAATAAGCCAAATGTGGGGTTAACTCTTTTTTTTTCCTCATTTTCCTGCCCTCCTTTCAGTGCCTCCATCCCTCCCTATTTACAATGATTTCGTTTCCATTTTTTTCATTTTCTCATATTTATTCCTTTCCCTTCTTTCCTTTCCCCTACTCCTGCCACTTCCCTTTCCCCTTCCACTTTGGACATTTTCTTCCTGTTTCACATTATCTATTATACATTTTTATTCTTATTTACACTTTCAGTTTCTCACACCAGAGAAACTGTTTGGTATTTCATATGTGCGTCCTATTTGTTTCACTTGAGTTTGGTCTCAGTGTGCATCCATTTGGTGATAAATATGTCTATTTACACATTAGTTATTTTTCAGTACTACTGCATTATACAAAAAAAAAAAACAACAAATACAAAAACACACATTTTCTTTAACCAGTCTCCAGTTGATAGGCAATTGGGCTGCTTCTAAATTTTAGCTATTACCAACTATGCTGCTATGCACATGGGTGGCCATATTTTACTGTGGTATGATTCTTTAAAAGAAAACAACCTCCCAAACAGATTGATGTACCCTCCAAAACTATCTTTCAAAATTGATGAAGAAATAAGATACTTTCATGACAAAGAAGTCCTGAGGAACTTCATGAATATGAAACCAGCCCTCAAAAAGTTTTAAACAGTATCCTAGCAAAAGACAATCAGGGTTTCAACCTCACAAAGCCCATCAGAATGAATCTATCAGACAAGACAAGGAATTAAATGCAAGGCAGAGAATCCAACAACTGGAAAATGTCATGATAGGGATATCACTACATATCAATTACAACCATCAATTCCTTTAACTTTTTTTTTTTAACCAGGGATCAAACATGGGTCCTATTTGACAGGTAGCAGAACCATGGAGCTAAATCCCCGGTTCAACCATCGATGTTAATGGTCCCCATTCACTAATCAAAAGGAACAGACTGGCAGAATGGGTTAAGAACCAAGATTCAACAATATGCTACATAAAAGAAACACAGTTAATTAAAAAGGAAACTCATATACTGTGGGGTTCACTCTTTGGGTATAATTAATACTTGCATTTCCCCTAGCACCAGGTGGAACACTCTGCTCCCTTTGTCATGGCCAGGAAACAGAGGGAGAAGAAAGCAGCACCTGGGTTTCAATATGCTCTGCAAGGGCAGGCTGCTGTGGCTGGAAGACTTCCATAGGAATAGCATCTCTTAACAGCTCCACCGGCTCTCCAAAGCACTACAGGCTTGGATAAAACTCTTAACACAAGAACTTTGGGGGTACTTGTCCACTCCAGGACATGGCAGCAGGTAAATAAAACATAAAGTAAATTAAAAGATGAACAAGAAAAGAAGTTTTCATTTGGTTCCCCTCCCTCACGTTTCTTCTTCTCACTAAATGCTCCATGCAAGTGTAAAATGTAATTAATTCAGAGATCAACACACCTTGGTAATCTTGCTACATATGTTTTATCCATTCTACCAGAAGCTCAGCTATAGGCATGAAGGTAGATACAGCAGTCCAGACAACTACGTACAAAGTTCTTCAACTTGGAATTTTCTGAGAGAACTCAAGGTTTAGCTGACCTCAATCTGAGGAGCAGTGTGTTGAGATGACAAACCTATCTACAACAAAAGTAGAGTCATATGTGGTGGATCCCTGGCTTCCTTTCTAATTCCTCCTCATTAGAACACATCTAAAGTCTTAGTTGTCTATTATTCTATCATGATGCATACAGCAGGGAATGCAACAAAGCCTCTGCCATGGGAATCTTTTCTGGAAGACAATGTGGGAATTCATTGTCTGGGCTGTGCTGAGCCTCACTAACCTTGCAATAGGCAGGTTCTGAAAATCCTCCTTTGCTACTGTTCCAGATGGAACTTGTCTAAAGAAACACCTCTTGCCTCCTACAATGCCTATATTTTGTGGCCTGGAGATGTAGGCCCCCAGTGAGCTATCATTGTACTGATATTTTAGCTAGCACAGTGGAAAAATGGCTCTGCAGTAAAGTGAAAGCCCATGGTGTAAAAATTAGGCAGCTCTGATTTTCCTGTGGAACCCATGAATCCTCTCCCCAGATGGGCCTAGACCTCTGGCTTTAGAACATCCTATTTCAACTTGCTAAGGCCTATTTCTTCCTGAGTTTTCAATCTCTCAAATTCCTCCAGTGATCCCAGCCTACTCTGTACCGTGCCTCTGTTTTTATGCTCCAGTGCAGACTGCATTCCCGTGTCTGTGTCAGTGGGATGATGCAGCAAAATTTAGCTGCTCAAAGAAAGGCTCACCTGGGGAGAAACATCTGCATTTTTGTTTTTCTGTCCCGACTGTGTACTGAGTAAAGCTGAGAGCAGTACCAGGAAGCGTTATGCATTTCTCTTACCTGAGATTTTTGTACTAAATAGAATCTTAAGTGTACAGGAGGGAAAAGAAGAAAGAAAGGAAGAGGAGAGAAGAGGACGGAAGGAAGGAAGGAAGGAAGAAGAGAAACCAGAAAGAATGGAAAATGAAGAGGGTGTATGAGGGAGGTAGGGAACTCAGGAGGAAGAGAGGTGTAGGGAGGGAGAGAGGGAGAAAGAAATAAGAGAGGGACCAAGGGGGAAAAAAGGAAAGAAGTGAGAGTGAGAGTCTGGATAAGGGAGAAAGATTATCTCCTTTGGGGCTGGTATTTAAATCAGAGAGTAAATGACACAGCATCACTCAGCAATTTAATTAATGAACACTTCTTTTAGGAGAGATATATTTAGAATATTTAATACACCAACATATGAAAAGGAAAAGAAAAAGATTCAAATTAGAGAACCCGATTTAATGAGGATGAGGACACTAAAAGATTCTATAGGATACTGAAAATGAAGTGCTAGCTACAGAGAAAGGGGTTCAAATGAAGGGGCGAAAGAGGTGTGGTTGTACAGGCAGGCAGAGGTATCCACAGAGGAAGAGTTTGAGTGTTTCAGAGAAAGAGAAGAGGAAAGTTAGACCACAGGGTCCAACAGGGTTCTGGAGGCTGAGACTCTATCCCTCAGTTTGCTCTGATTGAAGTCAGACCACTAGACCCATTTCCTGGGCAGTCCTGGGAAACACTTACAGCCTCATTTTCTTCAGTGGAAATCCAGGCAGTTGGAGCCAGTGGTTTTCTGACACACTTGCCAGTCCTAGCATCGCTTGTTTCCTGAGGTATGAAGCTGCCTCCATGCAGGTGCCTCTGCTCAGAATACCTCCCAAAGACTGAGGCTGTGGTTCATTTCTCCCACGATGTTGAATTGGCTTATGCTTTTCTTTCTTTAAGGATATTTTGCTATTAAATTTATGCTTGCCACTCAATTTGGTTCAAAAGTTATTTTTTGTGTCAAGAGTCT